TTTAGATTACCTGTATTAAGAAGTGGGGTGAGCCCAACACCCATGAAACCATCTTCAGCTAATGATAATGTTAGCCCCACTCAAGAAACATCTTCAGGACAGTCAAAGCGTTCTAAGCTGATGAAAGAGATAGATAAATTGATATCTAAAGAATGTGCATTCCTAGAAGTTAATGATGGAATTGCTGCAAATGATCTATCACAAGTGTTATTAGGTGCTAGAACTGTGTCAAAAGCTGTTGAAAGACTTATGTCACACCTAACTGAACCTTTTAGCTCCTATGTGACATTTAACACAAGTTAACCAACATCTTTGTTTGCCCAAAAATGGTAATTTATTTTATTAAAAAGAACAATTTGTTACAGGGTTCATAGAGCAGCAGGAGAGGTGACAGCACTTTTGACTACAAATCTGATATTCTGAGGTCATGATTTTAGGGTCCATACACCCATGTTAGTCATTTATCATTAAGTGCAACTCTGTTGGTGTCAAGGGATTTTGAACTTGACAAGTTTTCCTGTATTAGAATTTATTTATCTTAATTCAGATCTAAATTGTCATAAAAGAATGAAAGCATATTATATGCGCACAGTTAATCTTCAAACGAACTTTGAGAGCTCCAGTGTACCTTCCTTGATCAGGAGTTATTTGCATTCTTGGTGAACAGACAACCACTCACCCAGTTGGAGCAAATCAGTGGGGTGGTAAACCCCTCATCTCATGGTTGCTTCAACAGTCGGTTAGGTTACTTGCTGAAGAATGAATTTGCTCGATTTGGTCTTTAGTTTGTAAATTTGCTGAGTTTTCTTACAACAAAAAGAATATGATGTTTTGTTAAATACTGTACAGTCACTGAGGGAATATTTTTGGTAAACATCACTTAACTTTTCCTTCAGCTATAAAATGTTATTTCATATTTTAATTCTTTTATATATTTACTTCCATGTAGTAGTTAATAATCCAGTATTGTTTTTGCTTGTACATGATTTTTGCGCAAAGTTTGTTTATGAATGATAAACGACTTAAAAGTATTATTTGTCCTTATATTTATTTTCACAGGTACATGTTTTCTCTATTACAATAAGATACTATTTCCAATAAATTATAAAATCTGAATAAGCTTTGTTAATGAGTTGTGTATTATTAGTTATTGTTTACACTTTTAACCATACAGTCCATCGAGTCCAAAACCATTTAATTAGTTTTGCAATATTACCTCGAGTGCTGGGCAGCCTTCATGTGGTGCTGTTTCTGTACGCGTGTAATCGTAAACCCACATCAATGGTGAACTTTACTGCAGTATGAACACATAAAAAGCAGATCCAGCTTCCTTACCTGGAACTGAAGGCATACTATACTGGGTGAAGGTACTGTCTTGTTTTTGTAGAAAAATTGATGACCATCTTTTAGTGGCAATTTATAAATTTCGGCTTCTAAATTAAAACACTCCTTTAATTGATTTTTTTTTTTTAACCTTAAAAGATCTTGGACCTGCTCTTGGTTTTACTTATGCAAGACAATTTACATGAAGCATCTTATGGAACTTACTGTACTATAATAATTATGCATGGGAGTATTCAAGGTCAATGGCTTACAGGAATTCGCTGGTCATACCCGAGTTGATTCAAGCTGAAAATGACATAACTCTTACAGTACTATATACTGTAGTTGTTGTGTTGTGTTGTCTGCAACAATGCTTGAAGCCCTTTCCAAAAAAAAAAAAAAAAAAAAAAAAATATATATATATATATATATATATATATATATATATATATTATATATATATATATATATATATATATATATATATATATATATATATATATATATATATATATACCCTCTGAATGTCTTGAATAAAAAAGCTAAGGTACTCCGTTGTTTCCATTTTCCGTGTGATTTTATCAAGATTTATCTTATCCACGTTTTCATTGTGATTTAGAAATATATATATATATATCATATATATATATATATATATATATATATATATATATATATATATATATATATATATATATATATATATATATATATATATATATATATATATATATATATATATATATATATATATATATATATATATATATATATATATATATATACTCCAAATGGGGAAGCACTTCACTCTTAAAGATCGTTACGAGGGACAGACCGCCAAGATATCTGGACGACCTTCTTATAAGACCCAATAATTTATTTGCCTAATTTACCTTCTCGCAATGGACTGAGAACTTCAGCTCATTGTCAACATACACACCTAGGTCCATCTCACATTTAGTCTCAAATAGTGCAGTTTCTTCATCCCATTGGGACATATGATATGCTTCCTTACCGTTGATATGCCCCAGGTGCATCCTCTTACACTTCGTGACATTGAATCTCAGCAGCCATTTCTTCAACTGTTCTTGGAGCCCACAGAGGTCCTTCTGCAGCTCTTCACTGTCCGCTTAGTTTTTGATTTTCCGAAATAACTTGTCGTCATCGGCAAACATTTGTATGGAGGAGTGTACTACGTCAGGCATGTCATTTATGAAACAAACAAACAACAGCGGGTCCAATACACTGCCCTGTGGTACCCCACTTGTGACAGTTACAGATGATGATTTCGTGCCATTAATCACCACACTGCTTGTGGTCATGTAGAAAGTTTTCTATCCATACTAGGACATTTCCCCGAATTCCGTACCCTTCCAGTTTGATTTTCAGCCTTTCGTGGGGTACACTGTCGAAAGCCTTGGCAAAATCAAGGTAAATATTGTTGATATTACCACCCCTTTCTAGAATATGGGTCCAAATATCCAATACCTTGAGCAGTTGTGTTAAGCAGGAGCTCCCCGGCATAAAACCGTGTTGGCAATCTCTTACAAGGTTGTTTTGTAGTAGATGTTCCATCGTGGCATCTCTGATAATACTCTCAAGTACTTTACATATTATGCTGGTCAGGCTCACCGGTCTATAGTTGTTCGTGGAGTGACGATCCCCCTTATTGAAGATAGGACTCGCATAAGCCACTTTCCATTCACTGGGGACCTTTTGTTCATTCAGGCATTTACAAAACAGGATCTTCAGGGGCTCGGCAAGATCGTTGCACAACTCTCTTAGCACTCTAGGATGCGCCATGTCAGGGCCGGGACTCTTATGGACCTTTAGCTTTGACAGTTTATTTCTAATACCCTTTTCTGTGAACACAATGTAGGTCAGTGCTGTGTAGAACCGTCTGTCCTCAAACGCAGGAAGGTTAATTGCATCCTCTCTTGTGAACACTGAGGAAATGAAGCTGTTCAATGCCTCAGCTTTATCCTGGTCAGAATCTGTGTAACTACCATCTTCAAGCCTCAGGCCTGATACTCCTACTCGCATTTTTAATTTTGACTTTGCATATCGGTAAAACGCCTTTGGGTTTGACTTGACCTCGCTTGCAACCAGCCTCTGGAACTCCTTTTCAGCCCTTCTACATTTTATCTTTGCTTGGTTTCTGGCTCTTGCATACATCCTCCTGTCCTGCTACTGGGTTTGGTCTTGGGTATATATTTATCTATCAAATGGGTCACTTTTCTAGTTATGATATTCAGCGTAGTGTCTGTGCTCTTGTGCCATAATGAGTCAGGCCAGTGGATACCCCTCATCTCTTCCTTTATCCCGTTGTAATTTCCCATGTAATATTTTCACCTTGGCCTGGCCTTATCTTGAACTAGGCAACAGTTAAATCTGAATGTCAACACTGTATGGTGACTGGTGCCAACTGGGGCAAGGTGTTCCAGTTTTGCCACCATACCCTCCTCGTTTGTTATGATAAGGTCTAGTGGCTTGGGTGTTTGCTCCCCTCTGTAATGTGTTAGGTCTCTAACATGTTTGAATAGAAAATTATCTCTCAGAGCTTCTACAAAAAGAGTAGCAGGGTTATTCGAGTCATTTGGGGTGAACTCGGTTCTCCAGTCAATGTCGCCATAGTTAAAGTCCCCCTTGATAAGGAGGTGGCTAGGGTTGAGCATCGCCGCATTGTTTATTAAGGCTTTTAAGTTCCTTTGATTTAGTGCGCCACAGGTTGGGGATCTGTAGATACACCCGACAATAAGTGAGTCCCTTCCCTTTAGTTTAATTGTACACCACTTAGAATTCAAAAACATCCTCTCCCAGTACCCTCGCCTGACTGGCTCTAAGGTCTTGCCTAGCATAGATAACCACACCCCTCTTGCAAGTTTCTTGAGAAAGGTTCGTAAATGAGTCATATCCAGCAATACTGAACTCGCATTCTTCTGGGTCGATTCTCCTGTTCTTGTACAACAGTTCTACAACTACAATATCTGGTTGGTGTACCTTCAGCAGTGTTTCAAACTCCTCTCTCTTATCAAGGAACGTGTCAGTATTAGGGTACATGACATTCAAGCTTGAATTTGTTCTTGGTAACGTCTCTGCTCTTAATACTAACCCCCCCCCCAAGCTTCAGCATTTGCTAAATACACTGTATTTTGCAGGGTGTGGTTAGAAATATTGTTTACAAGGCTCTCGCCGCCTCCCGGCTGATAGGCGGAGCTGGTGCCACCTTTTCACAGCCTTCCTTTACCAAGTAATGCCAGGTAAAATTGCGAGCACAAGACCCAGGGTGGGGTCGGTGCATCTTTAGCTGACTGTATATTGGGATATTGTAGTTTATTAGTTTAAGGATTATATTACGCTGGATATCTACGTACCCAAGACAAAGGAGAAGCAAATACAGGTACACACACAATAACATTTACGTCCACTCCCATTTCGTCCACTTCCCATCAGGTTAGGTCAGGTCAGGTCATCATTAACTGATAGCAGACATTTACAGAGTAGGCATATTTGGAGTAGACAAAGTGGACAAAAATCACACGCACACACACACACAATACTGAAACAACCAAACAGCGAGGAGAGAAGGCCACATTACACCGGTTTAAGAGGTAACGTAATATCAGATAAGACCTTGATAACAGCCACAGGTGATAAAGCTCTTGGTCTGTCGCGATATCACCAACACTCAGTCAGTCACCGCGTACACCCGGCCACTCTCCACTACCGATACCACCCTCACGCACTCCCTCAACCTCCCCATCAAGAAAAGGATTCATCTTTCACAGGTAGGATTGATTGCCCGGGTAAAACATTGTAAGTTGTTTGGCTGTACCCATCTGCCCAATCTGGGATTAGTGATACATAATACAGGATGTCTTATCTATGACACATCCATCCTGTTTCAACTCTATTTTCTTGCGGAGGATACAGGATAAAACAGACCCATACAACTGCAGTATACAGTATTTTTTTTAAATCATTACGAAAATCCCATTATTACATTATATAGTCTGTATTTTTTTGTATTTTTCCTAAATTTTGGTAGTGTTCACCATTATCCTATTAGAAAAAAAAAGTCATATTACCCCTAGTTTGGAAACCATTGAAATGACTAATGGAAGTGGTATTGATGACTGTAAGTATAGAATGGTGAAGAATACGATAAATAATCATTATGTGAAGGGAAGATAATAAGGAATAGGTGTAGATGACTGTAAAGTAAAGGGTTTAGGTGTAAATGACAATAAAGTATAGGGTTTAATAGAGAATCACTAAAAGTAATAATAAAACGAAGGAATATGGGAAGAATTTACAGAGAAAATTTTGGGAATGATAGACTGGGGAAGATGGAGAAGGCGATAAAAGATGAGGAATAAAGGCAGTGACGAGAACTTTAAGACATAATAGACAAATGTAGAGAACAAATTGATGGAATAAATGGGTGAGGGAGAGAGCATGAAACACCTAAATCATAAAACTTCCTTTCACATATACGCCACGAAGCTAGAGAGAGAGAGGCCCAATTACATCTCGCGTACACATTTCTCTTCCCCCAACAGCAATGCCACGAAGACTTACTCAAGAACAGATCAAAGAGGCCAAGGAATGCTTCTCTGTCTACGGTCGTCAGGAGAAGATACCCATTGATCAGTTAGGCAACGCTCTCCGCTCCCTAGGCATCAACCCTTCCAACTCTGAAATCAATGATCTTATACAGGAGATCGGCGCCCCTTCAGCAGTTAACTTCGATACGTTTATGGTGAGCAGTAGTGAGGTGAATAGTAACCGCTCTGCCGAATGGACTGAGAAATTGAGATCTCTATTTAACGGATTATAAGGTTGGTTAGATAATTATGAAACCTTCTAAATAGCGGGCTATAAATATATATTTAAGTCCGTTAAAAGGAGGTTTTTACTATTAGTGTGAACAGGTATTTGCTTGTGTTTACTTCACCCAGTACATGATCTGACCTGGGTTTTAATACATGGTCATCCTTGTTTACATTCGATGACATGTGTACTGTACTGTGCATTGAACTCTATTTTAATGTATACTCGTATATGATCCTTAACAGGGAAACCACTATGTAACTGACTACCCTCTTCCATATAGTCCGTTATAAAGAAGTTTCACTGTAGTAGACACCTTTGTTAATAATTATAAGAACTAGTATGTTATGTTGTACTACAGAAACTAAAAACCAAGCTACAAACTAATCAAAACAAGATGGTGAGGTTTATTTTTGTACGCGAACATAAGAGATCACATTGGTCACGAAGTTCTACACTCACTGGATATTTTAAGTTTGACAGATAGATTTTTTTTTTTAGTTTAACAAATTTATTGGCAAAGCTTGTAGTACAGTTTGCCTATTCTGAGTAATTCAGTCAGGTCTTGACACTGAGGGTGGTATCACTTCTCACTGCCACGCAGGACAGAGAGGTTCATACACAAAGGAATAGATCGTATTCATTAAAAGTATTTATAGGTCAGATTCATGTGGGTTGATGTCGCTGTTCACTGCCATGCAGGACAGAGGTTCGTACACAAGGAAATACACCATATTCATTAGCAGTATATATAGGTCAGAGTCATGTGGGTGATGTCACTGTTCACTGCCATGCAGGACAGTGGTTCATATACATTGGACGTCATATTCTAATTGAAGACTAATCAGTATGGGCTAGCAAATTTTGGATAAACAGCAAGAATGTCCTCAAGAACCCCTGATTCAATGTAGTAATTACAAAGGTCATGATACAATAAGCCAGGTGGCCTGAAGTCTTTGACAGTGTCACAATCAATAATATAGTGTTTAAGTGTAGAGTATAGCATCTGAGGCTGAATCACACTTTTTGGATTTTCAATGGGCTGTGCTCAGAGTATCTTAGCAAACTGTGTAAGGATTATAGGGATATGAACCGGTATTAAAGGGAGTGAACATAATTTTATCGTACCTGTTGTCCGCTGGTCAAGCAAAAATACTTGCTTCTTTACAGCTATAACAGACTGGAACAAATTATACCTAACCACATTAAAATACGTAATGTTATCAAATAGTTCATATATAAAACTAAAATATATGCAATCGATGAAGCCAGAAAGTAATAAACAGTTATAAATGATCTTAACAAAAATCTAGTCAGTATTAGTCAAGAAAACTAAAGAATTTGAATACATGAGAGGCAAAGAATTATACAGAATTATGCAGTAATTCCCTTAGAAACCAGCACACGAGTTATAGAGTTAGTAGGGGACAGCATTTTTTTTTTAGACTCGTGTAAATTCCTCTTTCCAGTCGCTGTTATCTAAGGACTTCCCCGTCGAATCCGCTGAAGAGATACGGGAGGCCTTCGGGGTCTTCGACAAGGACGGTAACGGCAGCATCTCGGCCACGGAGCTGAAGCACGTCCTCATGACCATGGGGGAGAAGCTGACGCAGGAGGAGGTGGACATTATGATCCGGGAGGCAGACATTGATGGCGAGGGACATATCTACTATGACCAGTTCATCCACATGATGACCGCCACCAAGTAATAGGGGAGGGAGAGGGTGGGTGATGTCGGCCTCTGAAGTAAGTAAGAAAGGTGACATCAGGTCTTTGCAAAGTGAGGGAACGGTAACATCAGACCTTTACAAAGTGAGGGAAAGGTGACATCAGGCCTTTACAAAGTGAAAGGTGACATCAGACCTTTGCAAAGTGAGGGAAATGTGACATCAGGCCTTTACAAAGTGAGGGAAAGGTGACTTCGGTTATTTAAATATAAGATGAGAACAACAGCTGGTCTTGTAATGTATAAGGGAAAATATATCATGAATAATCATTTAAGGTTAAAATGGATGTTAATAACTAGCCCGATAATAATTAGTGACGAAAAAAATTAGTAAACAGTCATAAACACATACTAATTAACCCTTTGAGGACGAAGGGGTTAAACCATCGTCGTAATAAGGATAAACAATTCAGAATCACCCGCAGAAAGTGTATTTATTCAGCCTTGTTACAATATATTTGTACTTTAGCAACAATAGAGGTATTTAAGACAATTTTAATGTGCAAATATCTATGTTCTATATTTTACCTTTTTTAAACTTGTATTGTTGTAAACTTATTGAAGTAGAATTATATTAAAAGTTAGTGTAATATTTGTCAAGTTTTATTTCAAATCTAACGAATACAATCTTCTTTTCCACATACCTGTTATAGAGAGAGAGAATGACACAGGCTACCCTCCAAACTTTCGACTAACTCCTCCGTTTTCTCTTATGGTTAACGGGAAACAGTCTGGTTGTAACCATTCGTCGAGAATAAAGAATGAAGTATAATTTTCATTTTCAATGATTGGATTGTTCAGATAAGTTACTCAATTCAACAGTTATAAGAATCTAGAGTATTTTGTGAAAGTTAATTGATAGAGATAAGCATTTTTTTAAGATATCTATTCAGTATATCTGTATATATGGCCCATGGAGGTTTATCATGTGTATGCGAACTAGGCCTATAAGAAATGGTAAACACTGCGTCAATGCATATAAGGATAACCTACGAAAGTTGTTAAACAGCAATCGATGAAGTACTGTTAGCCTTTGTTTGTATACCTTCACTGTCTCTACATGCTGAACCATTGTGAACTTGTAAACGGTTTTACACTGAATAGAGGCTTCTCAATCATTCTCTATCAAGTTTGGTGAAATTGATGACAAACACGAAAGAAAACGGCATCCGGGACTCGGTCACTGAGCAGAATGGCGCGCGCGTGTGTGTGTGTGTGCAGTGAGGTGGTGGTGTGTTCAGTGTTCCGTTGGGCAGAAAGGAGTGTCTATGGCGAGGAAGTGTGCTCAGTGCTCCGTAGGGCAGAGTGGCGCGTGTGTGCTAATGTGAGAGGTAACGAAGGTGTTTTATGTATCGCCCGAAGGGAATGAAGTGTTCCTACTGACGAAGGTGATGAATGAGTTAACACTGTGCTACTAAACTATGCATAGTGACTGAGGAACTGTTTGTGTTTTTATAACGTTCGACTTGTGCTGAATTCATGTTGACGTTCTCAAGTCGAATCTGGATATGGCTTCGTACTTCAGAAAAGGTAAATAGCTGACGTTGAGAGTTGAAATACGTTCTTATTATTATTTGTTGACTTGTATATGAATCTGTATCTAGAATTTTGTTATAGAAAATAATAGTAATTGATGCAGTATACATAATACAAATCTATGTACACACTACACAACACTACTAAATAATAAAAAAATATATACAAATACAACATGTAAAAAATTATACACACACCACATATACTCCACGCACACAGACACACACACACACTACTCCACGCACACAGACACACACACACACCTGTAAAGCATGACGCGATAATAACCACTTTCATATCTTTCATTAACAATTATGGTAGCTAAACTGAATATGTTAACAAATCCAATAATTCACTACACGTTACATAACACACTAATATGTAACATGCAAATAGTAAAAGCAAAAGTTTTTATTTGTTCCTGTATTATGTTACAGTTGAGCGTCGTACGGCGTAACTGATTTCGATTTTTCTGGCCCGTCACCTGATCTATTTTATCTATATGCGGAAATGGGAAGTTATGGATCGAATATCTTGGTTTTTGGTGCAAATTGGTTACGAGTCCTATTAGATTAGGTTAGGTTAGGTTAGGTTCTAATAATTAGAACCTAACCTAACCTAACCTAACCTAACCTTACCTTACCTTACCCATTACAACTGTGACCCATTTCACCAGTCTCTGATGCCCCTAATAAGCGAGAGTTCAGTGAAATCCATCGTCTCAAATGACTGCTTTAACTCCCCCACGTGTGTGATGTGCTGTAGGAACCGAACCTTTGCCAATTCTCAAAGTATTTCACTGGGTATGCAAATGATGTGATATATAAGGTAATATAGCTTGGGGATGCCATAGTCTTTATAAAGTAGTTTTCTTAATCTTTTTAGATTTCGAGCTAGAGTTTAATGTCATTGATAATTTTCCGTTTGCTGTGTGTGATAAGGCTTGTCAGTAGCCAGTCTGGGTTATTAAACACCGTTCATTAGGTCTTAGTTTTAGGTGCTTCAACTACCAGGGTTATTAAGCACCGTTCATTAGGTCTTAGTTTTAGGTGCTTCAACTACCAGGGTTATTACACATGTTTATAAATGTAAAATATCTTGTCTGTAAATAGAACTTTTGAAAATAATTTCTTTAACAGTTCGATAAATAATCTATGTGTTTGTTATATATAATTAATGCTTGGTGTGTCAAATGTCTCTCTCTTTCCGAACCTAACCTAACCAATTTTTACGAACGGTTTGTTTTAGTTGTCGTACATAATGGGCTAAGTTATCGTATTCGATAAATTAATCAATCAAACTCAAAGGGTAACGATACATAAGTTACTGGCCTACTGTGTTGTACTCTGGAGGTTTCCATCGTCCTCAAGGGGTTATCATCGTACTCAAGGGGTTATCATCGTACTCAGGAGGTTATCATCGTACTCAGGAGGTTATCATCGTACTCAAGGGGTTATTATCGTACTCAAGGGGTTATCACCGTATTCAGGAGGTGATTATCGTACTCAAGGGGTTATCACCGTCCTCAAGGGGTTATTATCGTACTCAGGAGGTTATCATCGTGCTCAAGGGGCTATCGTACTGGGATAGGTTAAGAGGTTGATATTTACGCACCCTTATGTTATGTCATATTTTAACTTAATACTTCCTACTTGTTAAAAAAAGCACCAACACAGGGTTAGGTTAGGTTAGTTTTGGTTTGAGGGAGGTAGGTTATGTTTGGTTAAGTTAGTTTTATTTTGGTTAGGTTACGTTTAGCGATATAAGATTAGGTTAGGTTATGGTAGATTGTGTTGGGGTTTGGGCATAGTAGTGTAGGTTAGGTTAGGTTAAGTTTAGTTAGGTTAGGTTAGTTTTTCAGTACATCGAGGAGAGAGTCAACAATAGGTCGGCCAGAAGGTAAACACTCAGGAGAGAAATTCCATTATATTTCAAGGTATAAATTCGACTACTCATTAGAGACGACAATAGGTAAACGGGCAGGTGAAAAATGATCTCACCTGGGAAAAGTTATCGATAGTGATTTGCTTAATTACAGGTAAGTCAACAGTTTCTCTAATCGCAGTTCAAGGTGAGTTTCACTGAGAACGACAGTGATTGATGAACAGAACCCAATGAATGAATTCTCCGTTTTAACCTAATTTAAATAACTTAACCTAACCTAACCTAATCTAAATAACTTAACCTAATTTAACCTGAGCTGACCCAACCTTACCTAAGATACCCCAACCTAACCTAAACAAATGTAACATATTTTTACTTAATCTAACCTAAGCTAAGCTAACCTAAACTAACTAATTCTAACCAAGCTTTATCTAATTCAACCTAACCTAACCCAATCCCGTAAACTTGAGTTCCCGGTACTTAAGGGAGGCGGCCCGTAAACTTGCGAGATCCCAATATAGTAATTAGACCACACCCTTCCAGTCACAACTCGCTTACCGCCGTTACAAGAGCTGACGAAGGGAACTGGTGTTAAGTTAAATGAACTAAACTGTGGTGTTGTGTCTCGCCTCGCGCACCGTCACTCACTGCTTCTCTGCCTTCTTTCTGAACGTTTTTTTATCATTTCGGTTTCAATCATTTCTTTCTTTGCTCTTTTGTTTAATCTAATGTAATTGTTAAAGAGACTGTGTGTGTGTGTGTGTGTGTGTGTGTGTGTGTCAGCGACGTAACTCCAAGAACCGGACAGGAGGGAACGAGCGCCGTGTAAACAATGAAATTTTTAACCACACCCTGCAAAATACAGTGTACTTAGCAAATGCTGCAGCTTCTGAGAATGTGGGTGGAGCGGGTTTATTACTAAGAGCAGAGACGTTACCGAGAACAAATTCTGGCTTGAATGTCATGTACACTAATACCGACACGTTCCTGGATAAGAGGGAGGAGTTTGAAACACTACTAAGAGTACACCAACCAGATATTGTAGGAGTTGTAGAACTGTTGTACAAGAACAGGAGAATCGACCCAGAGGAATGTGAGTTCAGTATTGCTGGATATGACTCATTTACGAACCTAACTCAAGAATCCTGCAGGAGGGGTGTGGTTATCTACGCTAGGCAAGACCTTAGAGCCAGCCAGGCGAGGGTACAGGGAGAGGATGTCTTTGAAGAGTCCAAGTGGTGTAAAATTAAATTAAAGGGAGGGGACTTACTTATCGTCGGGTGTATCTACAGATCCCCGAACTGTGGCCCACTAAATCAAAGGAACTTAAGAACCTTAATAAACAATGCGGCGATGCTCAACCCCAGCCACCTCCTTATCATGGGGGACTTTAACTATGGCGACATCGACTGGAGAAACGAGTCAACCCCGAATGACTTGAATAATCCTGCTACTCTTTTTGTAGAAACTCTGAGAGATAATTTTCTGTTCCAACATGTGAGAGACCCGACACATTACAGAGGGGAGCAAACACCCAAGCCACTTGACCTCATCATAACAAACGAGGAGGGTATGGTGGCCAAACTGGAACACCTTGCCCCAGTTGGCACCAGTCACCATACAGTGTTGTCATTCAGATTTAACTGTTACCTAGTTCAAGATAAGGCCAGGCCAAGGTGCAAATATTACAAGGGAAATTACAATGGGATGAGGGAAGAGATGAGGGGTATCAACTGGCCTGACTTATTAAGGTACAAGAACGCAGACACTACGCTGAATATCATAACTAGTAAAATGACCCATTTGATCGATAAATATATACCCAAGACCAAACCCAGTGCTTCTAGGAATACGAGGGGATCCCTACACATGAACCATGCGGCGGTCGACAAAATTAAGAAGAAAACCCAGAAATTCAAGACGTGGGTTGGGTCAAACGATGAGCAAGACAGGAGGATGTATGCAAGAGCCAGAAACCAAGCAAAGATAGAGTGTAGGAGGGCTGAAAAGGAGTTCCAAAGGCTGGTTGCACGCGAGGTCAAGTCAAACCCAAAGGCGTTTTACCGCTATGCAAAGTCGAAATTGAAAACGCGAGTAGGAGTATCAGACCTGAGGCTTGAAGATGGTAGTTACGCAGATTCTGACCAGGATAAAGCTGAGGCATTGAACAGCTT